TTCTCTCTGGATCTGAAAGACGCTTACTTTCACATTCAGATAGCCCCCCGTCACAGGCACTTCTTGAGATTCGCCTTCGAGGGAGTGGCATATCAATATACGGTCCTGCCGTTCAGGCTGTCTCTGGCCTCACACACTTTTAAGAAGTGCATAGATGCGGCTCTCTCCCCTCTGAGACAGATGGGAATCCGCATTCTGAATTACCTCGATGACTGGCTTGTCTTAGCCCAGTCAGAGGCCAAGCTGATAGCCCACAGATCCTCCCTCCTTAACCACTTAGAGTGCTTGGGGCTCAGGGTCAATTATGCCAAAAGCTTGATGATTCTCAGCCAATGAATCTCATTTCTGGGGGCTGTCTTCAACTAAACTCAAATGAGAGCTGTAGCCTCGCCAGAACATGTCCTGGCTATACAGCAGCTGATGACCGCCTTCACGATTGGCATGTCCTTTCCACTCAGAGTGTTTCAGAGGATGCTGGGTCTTATGGCCTCTGCATCGCCAGTACTGCAGTTAGGCCTCCTTCACATGTGGCCCCTTCAGCACTGGCTGAAACCCCTGGTTTCATTCCAAGCTTGGCGTCACGGACACCTTCGTATCAAGGTGGATCAAGCCTGCGTCGCAGCCCTTGCCCCTTGGAAGGACCCTTCATGGTTCAAACAGCGCGTATCCCTGGGAATGATACACAAAAGGAAGGTCATCTTTACAGATGCGTAAAACATGGGCTGGGGAGCCCTGTGCGACGGCAGACCAGCCTTTGGCACGTGGTCGAGCGAAGAGACAAGCTGCACATCAACTGCCTGGAAATGCTGGCAGTATGGCAGGCCTTACAGTCCTTCCTACCACATCTAGAAGGATGCCACGTCTTAGTCCGATCGGACAACATGACGGTAGTATCCTACGTAAATCGCAAGGACGGCCTTTCCTCCTTTGCCGGGCAAACTGAACCGGGGAGCAGACATGCTGTCTCGGAGCAACGTCCCCTCTGGCGAGTGGATGCTCCACCCCTAGACGGTTCAGAGAATATGGGAGATCTTCGGGGAGGCAGAGGTCGACCTCTTCGCCTCAGAACACAACTCTCACTGCCCAATCTATTTTTCGAAGGAAAGGGATGCGCTGGCCCACGATTGGCCCAGCCTTCTCCTTTACTGTTTTCCTCCCGATCGCCCTGATCCCTCAGGTTGTCAGGCGAATCAGAGAACAAAAACACAAGGTTCTTCTAGTGGCCCCGCCCTTGAGAAAAAAAACTCTGGTTCTCAGAGATGTCTCAGCTGCTCACGGCAGCTCCGTAGCCCATTCCCCTGAGACGGGACCTCCTCTCTCAGGCGAACATGACAATATGGCACCCACAGCCCGAGCTGTAGGCCCTACACTTATGGCCTCTCGATGGGAGCCTATGAACCTCCCAGAGGGTGTCTTAAATACCATTTCTCAGGCTAGAGCCCCGTCCACAAGGCGCCTCTACGCACTCAAATGGTCAGTCTTCACCGATTGCTGCACAAACCACGATGAAGATCCACCCACATGCGACATATCTTCGATATTGTTCTTCCTTCAAGAGCTGTTGGATAAGGGTCATACCCCCTCCACTCTTAAGGTCTATGTGGCGGCTATAGCATCTATTCACGCTCCTATAGATGGGATATTGGTCGGGAAGGTTGAACCACCCTCTGCCTTTTATTGTCCCTACGTGGGATCTGTCTACGGTTCTGAGTGCGCTTAAAAGCTCCCCCTTTGAACCGCTGCAATCCGCCGATATTTGTCCCCTGTTGCTCAAAACCGGTCTGCTATTAGCTTTGGCATCGGTTAAGCGAGTTGGAGATTTACAGGCGCTATCTGTGAGTCCCCCCATCTTGAAATCGGACCTAACGACTCTAAGGTCGTCCTGAAACCTAGGCATGGTTACGTACCTAAGGTGCTCTCTACTCCGTTCAGAGCACAAGTAATCACGCTCTCTGCGCTCCCTCCCTTGCAGGAGGACCAGGAACTAAATCTGCTCTTGCTGTCAGGGCATTAAAAATCAATGTTGACCATTCCTCCTCCTTTAGGCAGTCGGAGCAGCTCTTTGTATGTTTTGGTGGCCGCAGCAAGGGGCTTTCGGTCAAAAAGCAAAGACTATCCCGTTGGATAGTTTTGACGCAATAGCTCTTGCATACTCCTCTCCTTGGGCCTTCAATGCCCCATCGGGGTCAGAGCACATTCCACGAGAGGCATGGCCTCATCCTGGGCATGGTCCAGTGGTGTGTCCATTGCAGAAATTTGTGCAGCGGCCGGCTGGTCCTCGCCGTCCACCTTTGTCAGGTTCTACAACCTGGACATACCTGCTTTGCAGGCTCAGGTCTTTTCTGCTTAACTGAATCTCTGAGCTCAACGCTCCAGGAACCATATTTCCGCCCTAAGGCTGGATTTAATCCTTGCTGGGTCTGACTATGTCTCGAACCCGCTGAAATTCCCACGTCTGGGCTTAGCTTCCTGCACGCTCTCGGCCCTATCTAGTTCCGATGCTGTGCAAAGCTCTAGAACGATTATATGAGGCCGGGCTCAACCTCTATGAGTTAGTTCGTTTTTTGCCTTCTCTTGACCCCGATAAAATCCTGGTCTCTGGCTATGGCCTGCTTCAGTGTAGTTGATCTACGGGGCCCCCTTCTGGATGCCCCAGACAATTACTTATAAGTCGTTCATCTACCATAGCACGGTGTGATTTAATAGGTTCCCCACCGCGTCTTAGCGACGCAGAATGAGTAAAGTATCGAAAGGGAACGTACTCTGTTACTAACGTAACCTCGTTAGTACTGTGTAACTAACCGTGCTATGCACGACTCTGTTGTCGCTTTTGTCAGTATGAACCGGTGATCCTATGCCCAGCGCCTGCTTATATAGCCAGATGCCCTGCCCAATTTGGCGTGCTCTGGCGCGCTGCCTCGCCAAAGGCTCGCGCAGCTCCGCCGTGCCGTCATTGGTTCATTTTTGTTAATTCTTTTGAACCAGTAGCAGTGCAGATGCACTGCTGTGATTGAAAAAGGCTTCAATAATTGGAGAACTGGAGTTTTCCCCACCGCGTCTTAGCGACGCAGTACTCATTCCCGTATCGCAGGGAACTGAGGTTACGTTAGTAAGCGAGTACGGTTTCTTGTTTATGAACTATCAGGAGGGTTTGGGTTTTTAGACGATTGCAACATTTTTTTAATCTGTCCTGAATCAGTGTTGCTACCAGTTTTACTTCTGTATTTTGACTAATTTGATAATGAAAGTGAATATTCAACAGGAAAAATTAAGGAAGTATGATTTAAAGGACAAGTGTGAAAAATTGGCTTTAATGCAAATTTGCTAAATCAGTGTGTGGATAGCTAATTGGCTAATCAATGGTAAACGTTATCCAATATAGCGCAACAGTGTCTGCCTACTTTATCAGCGGGCTTATTTTCTGAAGTATTTTCCCCATTTTTTTCCCCCATAGGGATTTAAAATAAAGTCTTTAAAAGTTACAAGCCATGAACTTAATCAACAAGGTGAATTACATTACAAACTTTCATTTGAACCAAAAAAGTATTTGAAAATTCACAAAAGGACAAAGCTACAAGACTGTACTTCCATTATGCATTGTGAATGACATAATGGAATTAAAAATAATGCAGAGATATAAAACCATCGATGTTGATTATATATAGAAGTGATATATTTCATGTTTATGGCAAAATATGCATATTATACAAATATTTCAGTCATTTGAGAGTTTAGGGAGACTGACTCTAATTCAGTTTTGACAGTGCTTCATGATAATGTGCAGGTGGTGAAGTGTTCTTTTGGCACTATTTGCTTATCACAATTCTCTTATTATTGGAGATTTCTGTGTAAGAATCGTGAGTAATTTAGATTTTCACCAGTACCTCAGTAATGCAGGTTGAGTGCTTCAGCAGAAATCTATAACAACCTCATAGCTCACAGTAGGTCTGTTTTTGATAGTATATTAAGTTAGCATTAAAAATCAGTTCCCTTATGGAGAAATTGAATGGGATTTTTACTTCCAGAACCTGACTTTCTATAGCCTGTGTGGTCTGTCTTAGCAAAAGGAAAGTTGATTCCGAGGAAGAGCAAGTTTGTACATTTGACTTGCATTTAATTTAAATACTTTTTTTTTCTTTGAAATGAATTGTTCGCAATATGACCAAGAACATATATTAAGGTTTTACATAGTTACATTCTCACTTTAAACCAGAATTAATATAAGCTGAATTTTCCAAGGAAATCATAATCATCCCCTCTCAAATAACCATGTAAAAAAAAAAAAAATTTCACAACAGAGGGGAAAAAGAAACTAATGTGCCATTATAGTTTATGGGCACATCAGATTGAATTCTCTCGCAATTTTTCACATCATGCACAAGAAGCTACACCATGTGAGATATGTTTAGAGGTTTCACATCATTTATGTAGCACTGCCTTAAATATGTGATTCAATGTACTATGAAGTCAATAAAAAGCCATCTCTGGTGTTTTAAAACGTGTTTCTTTGTTGTGGTGTTTGAAAGGACTTCCTATATGACAGTGACTCATGCAATCACGCATGCCAAACAGCCAGGCCAAAGGGACACCGCGAAAACTCATTAGCCATCGCACAGCAACAAAACACCAGGACACAAAGATGCTTCACATGTTCACTTCAGACACACACACGCTGTATGTAAGCCGCAAGAGTTCACAGCTCCCATCTGCTCGGAGCTGAGAGACTGAGAAACAGTGAACCTCAGTCACACCGACTGAAATTAACACCACTATTTATAGAGAGAAACAGAAGAGGGTGTGCGCGTAAAAAGGATTATGGATTTTGAGGTGGATGGATTTCTGCAGAGAGAAAGAGAGGAGGCAGGGGTTAATGTAGAAGTAGATCATCACTCTCCACTTTTTATTGTTGTCCTCATTTCTAATCGCTACCATTACAGACAATTATGCAGGACAGAGAGAAACATTGCTTTAGTCAGGCTTTATGGCTGGATAAAGGGCATTTTAACAGTATACTCTATATTGTCTACTATAAAAATAAATATATAGTAAACACTTAAAACAACACTATAATAATATAACCAATAAATGTGGTTATTTTGAATATTGATCTAATTTAGTGTAAAAATGTCTTAAAGGGTCATGACATGAGAAATCAAATCTGCTTTGATCTTTTGACATACCATTAAAACATCCTTTAAGTTTAATAGCTTAAAATGTCCTACTCATTATTTATTTAATCAAGCTCAAATGGCTGGTTGGATATTGTGGGATTTGTAACATCATACAGGCAAATATATTTGCATATGACCGCTGCCATAACAAGACGTTAAAGAATAGTTATACATCATTGCACCATAGGCCCCATCTACTGGCATTCAGTCACTTAACAGGTGACTTTTTGTGCAAAAATAATTTATTAACATTATAACTGAACCTTAAGGAACATATTAAAATAACAAAAACTCCATGTCATGACCCCTGTAACTTTTGGCAGTCCAATCACAAACTAAGCAAACACTATCTATTCTAAACATAGCCTTTATATACTTAATGTTTTATTTAACATTTATAAACATAAAACTACTTTTATATGTGGGTTGATGAACTAATGCTTATTTTTTGTTTGCAAATCATATACAAAATCACTTGAATATACTTCTTCAATGATTAACATGCTTTAGATTCCTGAGTTGACATTCATATTGATATTCTTGGGGGGCTCAAAGTAAAAAAAAAAAAAAAGTCAGGGTGATGCAACTGTTCTGAAATCATAATGAAAAAAGCTTCAAAAGAATGAATTTCATAGTTTTCAAAGTAGTTTGGCACAATTTTTTATTATTTATATAAAATGTATATCTGTATATCTATAGATAGATAGATATTGAACTATTGTTAAATATCAAATGTATTCTGAAACCTGGAAAATAATGATTAAATGTGTACACTCAGTTATATACAAAGTGTAAGGGAAAATATAAATGTTACTTTTAACTTGACTTTTACATTACATTACATTTAAGGGTCATTTGAAACGGCAAATAATATTTAAAAAAAAAAAGTCTTTCTGCTTTATCATAGACATTATCTCATACTGTATGTCACTTAGGAAGGATAAAGATTCACACACAAACCTCTGTTTCCACTTGAACTTTGACCTTGAGCTGGCTCTCTCTGTACTGATTGGCTCTTGACACCTGCTCCTCAATGCCACACAGAACTGCTTCACAGCCTGCACACCTGGGAGAGACAAACACGCAGAATATTTAATACCACCAGCAAGGCATTTTCCTTTTTACATCAGCAACAGAATCCATCACAGCATACTGACACAAACACAAATACACGCGTACCACTCCTGCAGTGTGTTGGCAATGTTGGGTAATTCGTTGGGGCCCAGGTCTCGACCTATACTGCAATCGACCTCGACCTGCTGGTTCCTCTGGTCCAGTTTCCCATGGATAATGTCACTGTAAACAGCCTCGATCAGCAGGTCTTCCAGCTCGCGCACATTCTTCAGCTCTAACTGCTGGAGCAGTAGTGAATACGGCAGACACTATCCAGAGAAAGAGGTGTTTTTTTTAGCTTAGTTTCTTCTGAATTCTATGCTCTGGAGTAAGTTTAAACTTCTCATTTGCTCTAGTAATATTACAAAGGCTTGATAAGAGCATATTGGTTTCGTCAATCATGTAGTCAATAACACTAATAGCCCATATTGTTAACAGCTGTGTGCTGATCATAACGGACCTCATTAAAAACAGTGCTAATAAACCCTCAGTCCAGAACGGATGAATCACTACCTTTAGATTGGAGGCCAGGCTGATGATTGACAGGTGACGGAGTTTGTTCTTCTGGGCGGGTGTGAGTTCAGGAAGTGAGGCTGCCCTCTCTAAATGGCAGACATACATTAAATTAACATACATTATAACCATCCGCACAGCCGGGAGGAAAACAACTGATTACATTAAAGCCCTGGTAAAATCTGTAACAGAACATGGGCCAGAGACTTCCCCCTCACAGGAGTTAACTTATTTAGCAAGGCAAAGGGCAGCATATACAGTCTCATTCTGAGTCAGAGCAGGGAATGAACCTGCCGCCTCAGGAGGCCAATATCTGGTCAGATCATTTGTTGTCATGGTTACCTTTATAGTCGCAGTAGGTTCCATACGCAAAAAGATTGAGAAGCTGGTACACTGGAGCATGGGGACCCGTCTCCAGCTAGAGAGAGGGAAAGTGAAGTGCAGACAATGATTGATATGACAAAGTGTTGAAGTATTTTGTGTTGAGCAGGTAAACACTTTAGCTGGGCTCTGTAGGAATGGCGGTGCAGTACACGAGTACTCTGGGATCTCTGTGCAATATGTGGCGGAGAAACGTGCATGTAATGCACTGATGATGACATCTGTTGACTTGCCCATTTGTTTTTATTATAGCACTCCTAACAAATATCAGTATAATAATATATAATGCAATAAATATATATGTTATGTTCAAAAGTTTGGAGTCTGTACTTTTTTCCCCGAAAAAAAAGAAAGAAATACTTTTATTCAGCAAAGACACTTTAAAATGATCAAAATGACAGTAGAGACATTTATAAAATAACAAGAGATTCTATTTCAAATAAGTGCTTTTCTAGTCAAACAATCATGAAATAAATGTAGCGTATTTTCCACAAAAATATGAAGCAGCACAACTTTTTTTAACATTGATAATTAGAAGAAATGTTTCTTAAGTAGTAAATCAGCATATTAGAATGATTTCTGAAGGTTCATGTGACACTGAAGACTGGAGCAAAAGCTGCTGAAAATTCAGCTTTGCCATCACCAGGATAAATGACATTTTAAAATGTCTTAAAATAGAAAACAGTTCTTTTAAATTGTACTAATATTTCATGTTTTTATTTGGTTCAAATAAATGCAGCCTTGGTAAGCACGAGAGACTTCTGTCAAAACTGTAAAGAAAATGCAAACTTTCAAATGGTAGTATTACAAAATTTCCTTTTAATATATAATCTAATATAAGTATCTGTTTAAATGAATACTGACCTCAAATATACAGAATATTCTAAATGGGGAAGAAAAAACTTGTAATTGCAACCTGACTGCCTGTCACTTTGAATGTGCATCAAACCATAAAAATGTGATTTTTTTCTAAATCCCATTCAAATGATATTAGTGTAATATGCTCTTGAAAACTACACTAATATACTACACTAATCTGATTTGAATGAGATATACAAGAAATTGAATTTTGAGTTTTAGATACTATGGCGAAACACATCAAGAAAACAAAATCGCTCAGAGCTTGGACAAATGATTAATCGCCTTGACATTAAATTTGACACACCAACGCTGCCATTAAAATAATAAGATTTGACACAGAACTCACTTAAAGTCATCAAGTCAAACTGAAATAGATTTTTCAGCACAAAAACTCACCTCACGGACGTTGGGCAGTTCTAGTATGTCTGAGAAAACATAGAGGCCTGGGGTTTCCAGCAGAGAGCTGATGGCCTGAACCAGAGCTGAACCTGAGAGAGACAGCAGCTGATCCACCTCCATCTGACAGAAAGAAAGAGAGAGTTTAAACAACCCAGATCCCAGCTTCTGAAAACATGAGGTGGATATTCAAGTCTAAAGAACAAGTTTCACAACTGTTCAGGGCTATGTTCAGACTTACAAGATGCAAGAGCAGTTCTTATTATATCTGTTCTTGCAAGCCTCAATAACTCATGTACAATAAACACGTTTCATTGGGCTTGTTAAATTGCTGTTGATCCACAGCAATATGCTTTCGACGACACTTTGATGCAGGAATTTAATATGACAGGTCGCTCGTGATAAAAATAACTACAATTTCAGGGCGAAGATATGCATGATGCACTTTCATGATGATTAAAACAAGGCTGCCAAGTGCACTAGAAGATTACAGCTCTGAGACAGCCAGGAAGAGATGTATTTAAATGCACTTGACACAATGAGATTATTTAGGAGACTACAAATGATAACAAACACGCATGCATGTAGAATACCAACACATTTGTGTTCCTCGACAAAGTTACTAGGCTTTAGTACATGAATCCATAGTCTAACCGTACGTTTACTTTATTAACCGGAGTCTAAAAGCATTCTGTGTTGTTTAAATTCAGCAAAGACACTTTAAAATGATCAAAATGACAGTAGAGACATTTATAAAATAACAAGAGATTCTATTTCAAATAAGTGCTTTTCTAGTCAAACAATCATGAAATAAATGTAGCGTATTTTCCACAAAAATATGAAGCAGCACAACTTTTTTTAACATTGATAATTAGAAGAAATGTTTCTTAAGTAGTAAATCAGCATATTAGAATGATTTCTGAAGGTTCATGTGACACTGAAGACTGGAGCAAAAGCTGCTGAAAATTCAGCTTTGCCATCACCAGGATAAATGACATTTTAAAATGTCTTAAAATAGAAAACAGTTCTTTTAAATTGTACTAATATTTCATGTTTTTATTTGGTTCAAATAAATGCAGCCTTGGTAAGCACGAGAGACTTCTGTCAAAACTGTAAAGAAAATGCAAACTTTCAAATGGTAGTATTACAAAATTTCCTTTTAATATATAATCTAATATAAGTATCTGTTTAAATGAATACTGACCTCAAATATACAGAATATTCTAAATGGGGAAGAAAAAACTTGTAATTGCAACCTGACTGCCTGTCACTTTGAATGTGCATCAAACCATAAAAATGTGATTTTTTTCTAAATCCCATTCAAATGATATTAGTGTAATATGCTCTTGAAAACTTTTCAAGAATATACTACACTAATCTGATTTGAATGAGATATACAAGAAATTGAATTTTGAGTTTTAGATACTATGGCGAAACACATCAAGAAAACAAAATCGCTCAGAGCTTGGACAAATGATTAATCGCCTTGACATTAAATTTGACACACCAACGCTGCCATTAAAATAATAAGATTTGACACAGAACTCACTTAAAGTCATCAAGTCAAACTGAAATAGATTTTTCAGCACAAAAACTCACCTCACGGACGTTGGGCAGTTCTAGTATGTCTGAGAAAACATAGAGGCCTGGGGTTTCCAGCAGAGAGCTGATGGCCTGAACCAGAGCTGAACCTGAGAGAGACAGCAGCTGATCCACCTCCATCTGACAGAAAGAAAGAGAGAGTTTAAACAACCCAGATCCCAGCTTCTGAAAACATGAGGTGGATATTCAAGTCTAAAGAACAAGTTTCACAACTGTTCAGGGCTATGTTCAGACTTACAAGATGCAAGAGCAGTTCTTATTATATCTGTTCTTGCAAGCCTCAATAACTCATGTACAATAAACACGTTTCATTGGGCTTGTTAAATTGCTGTTGATCCACAGCAATATGCTTTCGACGACACTTTGATGCAGGAATTTAATATGACAGGTCGCTCGTGATAAAAATAACTACAATTTCAGGGCGAAGATATGCATGATGCACTTTCATGATGATTAAAATAAGGCTGCCAAGTGCACTAGAAGATTACAGCTCTGAGACAGCCAGGAAGAGATGTATTTAAATGCACTTGACACAATGAGATTATTTAGGAGACTACAAATGATAACAAACACGCATGCATGTAGAATAACAACACATTTGTGTTCCTCGACAAAGTTACTAGGCTTTAGTTCATGAATCCATAGTCTAACCGTACGTTTACTTTATTAGTCTAAAAGCATTCTGTGTTGTTTAATACTAATAAACATAAGTTTAAGAGAATAAACTAACGTTAGTCAGCTCGTGCTCAGTGTTCAGCACCCGGTATGAAGTACATCAACAAACCAGCAGCTAGGCCTTGTCGTTGGTAAACTAAGGTCTTACGTAAACACGCATCGTTACATACTTTGTCAAGTACGCTTACATTTTTAATATTAACATGCGACCGCATTTCGTGTGGTAAAACGTGCAGAAAAATATATTTACCTTATTTATAAAGACTGAGGTTGTTTGTGTCAACTGTGGTGCCACTGCTACTTCCGCTAGCAAGCGTGCTGCGACATAAAAACGAGCTCTTTGATTGGCGGACAGGTAGAACGGTGGGCGTGACCACAGAGCCAGGGCGAGAGTGAGCGGATGCACATCGCCACCGTGTGGTTATAAGAGTTATAGCGTCTTAGGAAGTCTTCTCAATGAAACTAAGCCAGTGATTAAGTAGTAGTAGTTTGGAAAGAAATAATGACATTTATATATTACATTTGTTTACAAAACCAATAAGTATTTAGATTAAAACATTTCTGTATTATAATTTATCTTTACATAAATGCAGTCAGCTGTGTCCAAAAATGTGATGTATCTGTAGAGGAGTTGCGTGAAGACACAGAATAGCTTCAAATGTTGTGGAACAAATTTTCTAACTCTCGTGTAATGTCATGATCTTGTGTTGATTTATGTTTTATATTGAATTCTTCTTGTACCCTTCTTAAATCAACCTAATGGTTTGTTAGTCTTAGCTGGCTTGAGCTGGTTTCTCAGACTGACCAGCTCAAAAGTGCCTGAAACCTTACTAAAACCAGCCAACAGATCATCCTGACCAGGTTAGAAGACCAGTTGAGACCAGCAAGCTTGCTTAGACTCGGCTATGATATCATCTTTTTCCAGCTAATTGGTTATTGCAAAAAGTGCCTGGATAAGTTTGATTGCATAATACTTAAAATCTTTTTCTTTCTTTTTTTTCCCTTTGGTGCCTGAGGCGAACGGGGTGATGGTGAGAGGAAAAAAACATTATTATGCAATGTTTTAAGAGTCCCAAATCTCAAGTCAAATCAAAGACACACAAACTAAATCGAACCTGAGAATTTTCACTGGACTGTTTATTAAAAAGAATGAAGGCAATAGAAAAATAGAGATTCATTTTTATGCATTTTCTCTTCAAATCAAACGTTAATGGTGATAGGATCCATCTCACAGATTCGTTTGTAATTGAAATCACAGGGCACGTCAAACCACGTCTTGGAGCGAGAGTCCAGCACTGCGCAGTCTTCACCATGAATCCCACCTGACTGGTGGTTATCAGGCTCTTTATCCCACTCACTCCAGAACCTACAGAGAGCAGCAGAACAATCAGGAAAACATCATATTAATACCACCTCAGAGAAACCAATTTGCCTTTAAATAACCACCAATGCCTTGACTGTCACTGAGACTTTTTTAGACAAATTCCTGCTTTGGTTTTACTTGTCCAAATTCAGGGTTTTCAGATTTTTTTAAGAACCAAGGACCCCCAAATATGAAGGGACATAAAATATAAATGTAGCTATAGGCTATATTTTTATACAGCTCTATATAAGTGACCCAAGACAACAAAACCAGTCATAAGGGTCAATTATTTGAGATTTATATCATCTGAATGCTGAATAAATATGCTTAGGATAGGACAATATTTGGCCGAGATACAACTATTTGAAAATCTGGAATCTGAGGGTGCAAAAAAAAAATCCAAATATTGAGAAAATTGCAGTTAAAGTTGTTCAAATGAAGTTCTTAGCAGTGCATATTACTAATCAAAAAGTACGTTTTGATATATTTGCGGTAGGAAATTTACAAAATATCTTTATGGAACATGATCTTTACTTAATATAATGATTTTTGGCATAAAAGAAAAATCAATTTTGACCCATACAGTGTTGGCTATTACTATACAAATATACCCATGCTTCTTATGACTGGTTTTGTGGTCCAGGGTCACATATATAAAAAGTATACATGATACTTAAGCAATTGGCTTTTTCCAAAACAAATGATTGAAGTATTATCTGAAAAATATTTTTACATCAATATTAGAATGAATGAACGAACGAATGAATGAATGAAAAAACAAACAATTAAATAAATCAAGCAAGTTAAAGGTGACAGTGGTGAGGAAAAGCTCTGTAGAAAGGTACAACACAAATAAAAAATAAAAACTATTAATGCATTAAAAACATGTGCACATTGAAAATATGAAAACCCCTAGTTGGTATTATTTTTGTTCAGATTATCTGTATGTGTGTGTGTACCTACTTAACCATTATTTTGGGGACAGATTTGTACCCAAAAGTAACTTAAACCTGACAAAATCTCCAAAAACCTCCCTTTGGGGACGTCCTTATTTGTAAAACTGGTATTAAATAAAAGTAAAAAAATTTTTTTCAAATTGTAAAAATGCAGAAATGTTGCTATAAGGGGAAGGTTTAGGTGTGGGGCAATAGAGTATACAGTTCGTACAGTATAAAAAACATTAAACCCATGGAATTTCCCCATTTAGATAGCTCAGGTAACGTGTGTGCGTACGTTGTATTAACCACCGTATTGTCCACCCATTTCCACACTCCCTCAGTCTCAATGTCTGATAAACCAATCCAGAAATGATAGTCAAATCCACCACGATTGCGTGCGACACTCTCAAGTGTGTGCTGTAATAAAAACAAAAATATATCAATATATCAGCCACACTGAATGAACATAATTTGAAATTTTTCATCTTGTATACGTAAGAAGTCCATTCACGTACACTGCCTCACACTTACATGTTGTTGGTGGCTGTGCAGTATAGTCAGATGGCTGCCCATAGACGCGCAGCTCTCTTTGCTGTGCTGCCAGTCAAGTTTATCCTCACTAAAGAAATAACACCTCCCTTCTAAATGCAGCCAGTCTTCTGGGCATGGCCTACATTTGATCACTGCAGAAGATAAATGTTAATGCATGAATGGGTGAAAGGAAGGGTGAAAGAAAGAAAAAAATAACAAAAATAAGTTTGACCCTTGGGCATCAAATATAATTCAAAGATAGGCTGTACATACACAAATATCTTTGTTTCCTTACCTGATTTTGAACAAGTCTGTCCAAGGGTTGTGTATTCAGAGCAAAGGCGGGAGAAACGCTCCTGCATGGCTGTGAGTTTGAGAGTTAGAGACGCAGCCTCAGACTCATCATTCTCGACTGGCTTTACAGCGACAGATGATCTGCGACTGTTTACCACTGCAAAGAGACAGAGTTTTATATCAATATATTAACCCAGCAGCCGTGCAAAGACTGGTCTTAAATAAATTGATAAGTTACCAGCTAGCTACCAGCAAATTAGCTATTTATTATTATTGCCTATCAGGGATATTTAGAATTTATATTTGGAATTATGTCTGCATGTATATCCTCCTGATGCTGTATACAAAACATTTAACCAGTCAATAGCAAAAAAGGCTATTCTATTCTATTCTGTTATTATGTAGGGACATGCAATATATTGTACAATATCACTTATTTGGCTATATTATACAATTTTATTTATCGGTATTTGTCAATATTGTTTATACTTATTTTCTTTCTTTTTTTTGTTACATGTAGATTACCTTTGCCATCATCCAATGCTCACCTAAATTTACACTATTAAAAACACTATTAATTTAATAACACTGTTAAATGTAATCTTCAGCGATTCTCAAAATGAACACAAATTTTTCTTGTACATTATACTTTTCTGATGCCTAAATTGATTTTCACTGTGCTTATAACAAGTGATTTAATTATTTTAATGTTTTAATATTAATTATTTATATTTGTACTTAATATTTAGACAAAATATTACAGAATTTTAATATCGGCATATCAGTATCTCGCAAAAGTTTAATATCTATTCATCCCTGATTTAATTATTCTATTCTATTCTACAAAATATCAGTACCATATTTATATTGGCCGTGTATGCTCATTTCCCATATTATACATTTACATTACCTAAGTGTTACCTTAATTTAATAACACTTTTATTAATTTAATAAAACTTTTAAATGTGTTCTTTAGCAAACTTCAAAATAATTTAAATATGAATTTAATAACACATTATTCATAATCATAATTCATATACATAATTACATTTAAATAGCAGCTCTCAAATTGAATATAATTTTTTTTCATTATATAATGTTGTGATGTCCAAACTTAAAATGTGATTTTAGTTTTTGGTGCTTTATTTTTTCATTTATTTAGAGAAGCTCAAATTTTAATATTTGCTTATCAGTATTGTCCAGCATTTTGCTATTGGTGCATCTCTAGCCTAGTCTCTTCTATTCATTATGAAACCCTCTGCACCAGAGTTTCAGAGGCGTGCTTACGTGCATAATGTCTGTTTACTTACAGAAAACGCCAAGTACTATGTTTGCACAAACTGAGGTCAATAGAGCAATGAGCAGTACAAGAGAAGCCTGCCCCCTCAAACACTTCACCCCTTTGTGAACACCTGATGAAACACAAAATCATCGTCAGATTAATTGATTATTACTCTGACTTATCCCACATTTCTCTACATTTATCTTCCACTCCCCCCTCAAGTTCACACACTCACATATACACACATACATTACCTTGTTTGCCTTGCGATGTGAGTATAGGTCTGTTTCCACTATGAGAGATATCCTCTGTGAACTCTTGTAAACTGGTGTAATTTTCAATATCTTCCATCTTTAAACAAAAAGTTCAGGAAATTTGTCAAACACCGTCTTCTTTATTTAACAACAGAGCTTCTGTCTGACAAGAGTAATGTCTTTATCTTCTAGTCCTGTCCTCCAGATCGCCAATAAAGAAATTACAGTCCACGAGGAAGAGAGCAATCAAAAGAGAGCTTCCCTGGAAGAAATTAAGAAGAGAAAGTTCGAACTGAGTGTTTCTGCTCAGACTTGTATGAACTGCTCCTTTTCACAGCTCACTGGGCTCTAACTTTTATCCCCCGTTGTCTCCCTCCCCCTGTGTCTGTGATCATGTACACATTTCAGGGCTGCTGGGTAAACACCAACAGGATGAATTAGAGGAGAGCTGGTTATGCAATACTGAACTTTTTACCATACACAGAGCAGAACACAGAACATTTTTTCAATGAATCAGTAGATCATTCCAGCCAATAAAAAGAACAGTTTGTTCATGATAGTAAAATTATTTAGTCCCCCACCACATGTATTCCTGTAAAATATTTCATACCGAACATGTTGGGAAATCCATCTGTTCACAAAACATCAAAACATGTTTTGTGTTTAACTTAAGGTTAAAGATTTACGTAATTTACATGGAGTCCACATTAACAGCAACCTAATTAATAAGAAGTGAAACACTTTTAATTTCTTTTT